CTTCACCTAAGACCAGTTTGTCATCGGAGACCCTAGCAGGGGCACAAAGTGCGCAGACAACATTGCTCCTAGGATAATTAGGGCACTCAAACTCCTCCACCACGATAAGGTGACGGTTCAAGGAGATTGTGTTAATGTGAAATGAAACCATTCATTCTCTCTTTCAGTAGACTTGCTCATAACTCATAATTCACCTTCTCAGTGGCCTAGTGAAATGAGCCCTTATCACTCTGCCTGACATTCAGCTTAGATTGGGGAGGTGAAACCACAAAACAGTTCCTGAGCGCAGCCACTGCTGCAGCTCACCGCTCCCCATGAGGATGGGTCAAATGCTTCAAAATCTATCTCAAATGTCTGCTTTTATTTATTCCTAATTCAAAGACTTGATTATAGATTTTCGTGTTTTATCGCAGCGGACGGAGGATAAAAAACCTGATGATAAACTAAATTAGTGAATCATAAAGGGAACAAATGAACTTATTAGAAAAACTAATATTTTTGATTGACCTGCAGCAGCTGGAGTTCCCACACAGGATGACCTCTGACCCCGCGCAGCACACGGTGCAATAGGACTGATAGCCATCTTCATCGTAGCGATATAGCGTCTCTGAGAAGTTCTCCTGCAAACAGCAACGTATGGAACACACTTAAATGTTTCACACACCTGATTTAACAGAATCAGGGTGTTCTTAGCTTACCTTGCATCTCAGACATAATCCACCCTCAAACAAAGGATGTTCCACGTTGATCTCAGGCGACGAACACGACAAACAAAAATCTGGAATGAAAACGGGCTTGATATTATTTATTATGTATTTCTCTCAAACATTTGAAAATAGTTTCAAAACTTACCTCTGATAGTTTTGTTTTTCTCTTTGAGATTTTCTATGATCTTTTCTGTACAATAAATAAAAACGAAGTAAAAGTGAGAAACTATGAATGATGAGGATGTAATTCTAACACAAACCTACAGATTTGCTCCAAAACAACACAAACCTCGGTTGAAGACCATCACAGCCACCGCTTTACTTTTAAAGACATATTTTCTTTTTGGTGCGGGCTGAGAGTCAGACAGGGAGGAGTCAGCAGACTCTGAAACTGGACAGGAGTCTGGAAAATCAGGCAAAAAAGAACACATCGTCAAAATCAAATGTAAATAAAAAAACAAAAATGTAGGGATGTGAATTGGTGAAATGATGGTGATTGTCATGAGCCGGAGTGAGTACTCCTCATCAAACTATCTTTGAGTGTGTGTTTGCAGGAGAGGGAGCTACAGCTGCACCTGGTCAGCAATCAGCAGGTCTACTATTTAAGGTGGATGGAGAACACAGCTCGACACCGGATGATTGCTACTGTTTGGTAGTTTCCTACCCTCGTCTCGATATCAGGTTTTTGATAGCTCTTGTATTCTTGGACTGGTGTGATTTTGCTCACCCGCCTCAGTTTCTTGACACATCAGGATTTTTCACCACCACTCCATAGAACTCTGGAATTGCTCTGCCACGTTCATCCATCCTGACCGACCCACTCTCTCTCTCTCCCTACACTCCCTTTCCAGCTCTGGACCCCCCCCTGGACACACCCCAGCTCATTACCTTCCCCTCTGCCCTATTCCCACACAACCCTGTAAGTCTTTACTCTGCACCATCCAGTACTGACTTACTCCTTCGGGACTCACCTCATTCTGCTTTCCCCTCCAGACGCTGCATTCCCGTTCCCTGTCCACTGGAATTCCCAGTGCACTTTTAGTTGGCATTTCAAAAATAAAATCTTATTTTTTCTCATCATTGTGTGTCTTGGGTTGATTCTGCATGTCTTGGATTAGACACCTCCCCCAGAACATGACAGCGATACGATACGTATCACGATACATTCACGACTGCGATACATTCAGTTGCGATATCAGCGATTTTTAGAAAATTCAAACAGTCCAAACTGATATTTAACATGTTTAACATGAGGCATCTGAACCATAGAGGGATTAACATTTCAGCGGTGGAAACAAAACCCATTACGCACTTCTGCTAACTAGCGCTCGGCGTTTGAATTGCACCTAAAGAAAAGAAAATACACAAATGTTTGCACTTAAATTCTTCCAAAAATTAGATGCACCTTTTGAATATCAATCTAATATTGCAGGGGAAAAAAATCACGATATATTGCCGTATCAATATTTTCTTACATCCCTGTTAAAAGGATAGTAAAAATTAAAGGAAAACTAGGCAGTTTTGGCTTGCTTTAGCACCTCCTACTAGTGTCCTGTGCTGTGCGTCTCTGAAACGTCTCCCCAGCCTTCGTTATTGTCTACAGGACTGATTCATCGCTAAAAGGTTCATTTTTGCTCATACTGTCTCAAGAAAATTGTTTAAAAGTATGAAAAATTTGCAAAGTATCGCTTTAAATATTGGAAGGATAAAAATAGTTTAAAGAATAAACTGTTTATATATTGATTTTTTTTTTACTTTGGCCCTTTTCCCACAACAGATTCAAACTGGAGGATAACTGCATCAAGGTGAGTGATAACACAGGAACGGGTGGAGTAACTGTGTGCGTAACACTACTTAATACTGCCAGGAATGTAACCAAACAGCATGTACATTGGTTCTAAGAAACATGAAACAGAACCACATTTAAAGCCACAGCTGTGGTGCAGGGTGCTGTTTGCTGTGGGTTGTGGCTGGGGTCTGGTTTTACTGGTTCCACCATAAACCTCTGAATAGCTAAGCAAAATAAAACGTAATCACACAAACCAGCCGGTAAGAGTCCTTTAGGTCCAGTAGGCAGAAATCCTTCAAAAGCCCAGTCCACCATCAGCTTCAGCTCCTGTTCTTTACCTTCTGCATGAGCAAAAGACTTCCCGCATCGCTCAGCTGCCAACTACACACACATCACAAGTAAATATGTAGTTCTGATGAGATCAGTGCATTCAGTGTAGAAGAGGCCAGCTTGGAATGCAGCATGCTGAGAAGAAAAGAACCACCATGACACAGTTGGTTCTGGGTACCTCGATGATCTGGTAGAGAGCTTCCCTGTAGAGGGGCAGGCTGGCAAAGGAATTTTTGCAGAAGCACCGGCTGAAGGCACTAAACGGCAGCAGTTTGTCAGTGTAGATCTGTAAAAAAAACAGATACCAGAGCTTATAGTTAAGATCTGCCGTTGTTCTGTAGAGACGTCATAACATTTACCCGTCGTGTTCTGACCTCTGAGAACATGCCATCCCCAAACCACTCCACCCTTCTCATGCCTGGGGGAGAGGACTTAGTTTTCCAACGCATCACCATCCCAGGCCACATGGAAAAGCCCTTCGGTTTGCCCCACACCAGCTCCCCCATCTGGAATCCCTTCCCATCCTTTAGGAAACAAGTGGAGAAACGGGTTCAGCACACTTGGTCAGACTCACCTGTGCTTACAGCAGTGAAGCCTTTTTACCTGGTACTGTTTGTGCTGTCCTTTGGTTGGAGTGGATTTTCTGAAAGGGGACTTTTCATCCAAATAAAAGTTCAAAATAAATAAATTATAAAAGATCAAAGGAGTCCAAATGTCACATTTAGTTAAAAAGTGAATTTTTTAGTGATGAAATCTGAGATTCTATGTTAAAACTTCTACCCAGCGAACAAAAAGATACGTATATATGTAAGACCAGGAGAACCACTTCATATGTTCATAATAATCTGGAATAATCTGGAAGCCCGTCAGATTCTCGGTAAAGGATGACTCAACCAGGTCCTCAATAAACATCTCATATATAGATTTTTGTTTTGATCACATTGAACTACAGCTAAGATAAAGGAGCAAATCTGGTAGTATACATGAGTATACCTACCGCCTCGTCTTTGGACTTGTGACCGTTACTGCGGTCCGCATCGAGGCCTATGGGTTTGGACCAGGAGCCAACACCAGCCTGAAACACCGTACGGGCCGGTGGCTTCTGACGTAAGCTGCTCTCCCAGCCAAAACCTCCCCTACTGGTCCCCTGAGGACAGCACAATCGGATTACACACCCAAAAAGCGTGCACATGCAAAGGAACACAACAATGGGCTCGTGTATTACGTAGGGAAATCCACAGATTATGATGAACTATATAAATGAGGAGAAGAAAGGTTGTTAGTACATGAGAGACACAAACATCACCTGTTTGACACTGCATTGTTTGGTTCTTTTTAAAACACAGAAAAGGTTTTTTTTTGCTGACAGTTTCTTTTACCGACTGCAAAACTTCCTCAAATGGTGGCAGTCGGAAGTAGGAAGTCGGGAAACGAAACTGTCAGCAAGGTAAACAAAAACCTTTTCTGTGTTTGAAAAAGAACCAAAAAAATGCAGCTAGAAACAAGACACAGTAAGAACATACCAAAGATGATCTGTTTATGTTTCAGCTGGTGGTAAATAAAGTCGGGTAATCAAAATACCAATAATAGACCAAATCTTTGGGGTTTTTTTTGTCACTGTAGAAGAATTTGTGACCAATTATATCACAGCCAACTTCTACCAGGCTGCCTTTACGTGTCGCAGCGCATGAGATGACTGAGAGTCCATAAATCAAATGTAGCTGTAACAACATGCATGAGACTGATGTTCTTAATGCTAGGGCCCAGCTAAGTTATTACCTCATTCTGGAAACCGCCATTAACTCCACACACACCGTCACTGAGATCTTTAGAGACAAACAGAAATCAGATGTCATCACTGCACGTGAAACTTCACACGACAAATAAATACTTAACCAATTCTGTTTAGAAACACAAGAAATAGAAATTAAAGGAACGTGTTTACAGCTCATCTTTGTGAGGCGAACTTCACAAGGCTTCACCGCCGCATCAAGGCCATTTGTTTCTGTAAGGAAGAGAATGTGTGATAGAATAATGAAGTCCTGCTGCTTTCTCCTGAACAACGTATTAAATCAGAATAAAGTGTAGATCTGTTTCACATTGAGGATTACTGTTTAATTACTATTGTGTTCATACCTGGAGTGTGATCCTGGGAGTCTTTCACCTCAGCGCTGTTTCTAAGAGCTGAGTAAGAGGTGGCGTCAGAGTCCCTTTCTGCAGTATCTTCAGTCTCAGAAAAGATCTCGGAGTCTCCGTCCTTTAAGGCCTTCAGTAGGACACGCAGAAAACAAGACAGCAAAATGAATGAAACAGTAGAAGCTCCCCAAAGATAGAGCACCGATCTGGCTCATTCACTCACATACCTCAGCAAAGACGCGTTGAGAATCTAGAGGAGGACACGGGAACGACAGCAGGGTCAAAACAAGCTTCCTGAAGACAGAGGTGGTCCTGGTGTCTTTAAGCGTCTGCGTCCAGTGCTTCTCCAGAGAAACCAGGGCTGTCTTGTCCCCCGCTCCCTCTCCAGTCAGCTGATACTCGTGAAACTCTGCTGTGAGCTCTTTGACCTCCTCAGGGGAGCTGCAGACCCCCAGCTTTGTTCCCAGCTTCTCTACTGCTGCTGCTGTCATGTCCAGCCCTTTCTGAGGGTTAAGCAGCTGACCAACGCTTTTTAGCTCCAAGTCGCTTAAAGGCAGCTTCTCTACAATGCAGCCGGTGAGTGCAACATAGAAGGACAATGCATCTTCTTCTACCTGCGACAGGACTGCTGTTGCCTTCGACGCTTTTAGGAAGTCTTCCATGCCTCCCAGGTTGAGATCTTGGAATGACAGCTGGAGTTCCTTGCTTTTTAGGATTTCCGGATCGGGTTTCTTGAGGTAGTCAATAACAGCTTGAGGCTGAAGGAAGTAAGACGTGTACGTGCCCAGAAGAGAGCTGGCTTCTTCTAGGATAAGGGACATATTATCCCAAGAAGCTGCCTGGATTTGACTGTGAAACCTTTGCAGGGGCTTCAGGGCCTGCTGCAGGAACATAAATGTGGCTTGGACTTTGGGATCCTTCAGCTGGGAGCAGATCGACTTGGCTTTCCCATCGCCCTCGTGACAAGAACTGAAGTACGAGATTAAATCTGTCCACACCTCCAAGATTTTTGTCACCAACTGGCAAAATCGAAGGCAACTAATGTTGAGGTAAAATGCTTTGCCGTTCTCGGTGATATCTGAGCCAAACAGTGCCTTGAGATTGTCATTATTAGTAGAGTGGGAAGAGTAATGTGCGTGAAGATCCACCATCATTTCTCGAGCCCAATTAGGGAGCTCCTTAAGCCCAGCGTGACAAGCGGCATCAGCGATGGTGTACAGACCTCCTAAGGCCACTACGTTTGGGTTGAGTTCCCTGAGATGTGAGTAAATCTGCTCGGAGGCATCACCATTACTACCGATATAAACAGCAGCAGCAAGATTATCTGTGGACAGATCAAATTTCTTCAAGGTCTGCACCACCGCTGCTGCTGTGTGATCTTCCGCACCGTCCACCAGCTGAAGGGCATCCAGAAATCGGATGCAGTGTCTAGAAATTTCCACGTTGAAATAACCCACGAGAATCACAGAGACCGCATCTTCCTCTCCAACTGCCACCCCTCCATAAACGTAAACGCAGTAGGGCGTGTGTCGACAAATGGATACGATATCGTCAGGGTACTGCGATCCCAGCTTACAGCGTGCAAAGCTAGCCGGCGCCTGTTCTCTTTCAGTGGATCCAGTGTAACAGTGACTGTTAATGAACCGAACTGCTGCATCACTACAAGGAAGCCAAACCGCAGCTTTCTTTGTGTGTTTCATCGTGTTTGCATGTCGGGTAAGCTCAGCGACCCCGTTCTTAAATGTGTTTAAGTTGTTATTACAGTACAAGCAGTAGGTATACTGCTCTCCGATACTACTGGGGCTTGCCCACTTGAAGTTTTCCTTCCACTTATGAGTGTAAGGATGTGTTTTACGCTCTCCGTTCTTCTCCACGTCGGATCCTGAGTCAGAGCTTCCTGATGAAATAAGAGGGAGACATGTAATGCACAAGTGCAACAGACGTGACAGTAAACCAAAAGCACTTCCTCTTTTGCTACAAAAGGGAAGGGAAGTTAAATCCCACTTACGTGACTGGGCAGACGACTGAAGTGGGTCGATGGCTTGGCCGTTACGGGCTTTCACAGGGTCGTAATCTTTGTCATTTACATTTGCAGTGTAGAAAACTTTGAACCACTTCAAGAACTCAAAGCTGCTCTTTAAATCTCTTTCTATGAGCTCATCAACAGGAATGGTCTGCAGTAAAACGAAGCAACATTTACTGATACAAAAACAGCAAAAACGGCTATTTGTTCAGCAGAATTCACCCGTAAGTCTACCGAAATGCACGTTTTTTTTTTTTTTTAAATAATGGAGACATTTTATTATTTTGGACGCATTTTGAGAGGTGAAGTACACACCCTGGTGACCCCGAGCGCGGTGAAGGCCTCCTGAAGAAGACTGTAGTTATGCCTGCAGTCATCCTCACTTTGCGCATCAAATTTCACTTTACTTAAGTCAACAGATCCAGGAAAAGTGTAGTCCATCATCTGACAGTGACACGCACCTGTTGGAACAAAATGCATCATACTCACGTTTGTGACTTTTTTTTTTTAAACAAACTCAGTTTTAAAAGGAATAAAAGACAGAGATGTAACCGGAGCAGGTGGTCAGCGTTGAAGCCCCTGAGCTGACATGATGTTTTAAAACGTCTAAACAAACCTGTGGGTTACGGCAGCCTAAAGCAAAATAAAGAATACCAGCTTGTTTTGGTTTCGTCAGAAGAGCTAGTCTGCTCTGAGGACCTACAAACATTAAATGTATTAGGAACAAACGTAATGCTTAAACAGTAATACTTCATCATTGTGTAGATGTGTAACACACCAATTCACTCGTGGACAGATAGTTTTATTTTAGACTTGTGTCATTTATTTTATAACTCAATTCTAACTAATCATAACAATAAATATCATTTTACATTGATTTTGTTCAAACTTTTGCTCATAACAATGTACAAGTCAGTCTGGACCAGTGAGACCTCATGAGCGGTACCAAACCATAAGTACTGTGGTGATGTGACATTCACAAACAAATCAGATCTATTGAAAGGCTCTCCACTATGAACAATGAGAACAGAGGTCGTACAGCTCTAGATCACCCCACCCAAAAAAAGCTAAATAAGTCCCATTACTAGCATTCTGGCTGATCTACACTGGATTCCTGTGCAATTTTGAATACAACACAAAGTTCTAACTTTTACCTACAAAGCCCTGAATGCTCTAGCCCCCCTATGCTTGTCAGAGCTGCTCCCCCCCCCCCCCCCCCCCCCCCCCCCCACTAAGGTCTGCTGACCATCTACTGCTCAAAGTCCCTACAATGAAATATAGAGCTCGTGGGGAGCGTACATTCGCATTTGCTGCTCCCAGACTCTGGAACACACTCCCTCTGGTGGTACGCCTGGCTTCTTCACTTGTCACAGTTTAAATCCAGCCTAAAGACACATTTCTTTAATTTATCTTTTGGTCAATGATCGGTCTTTTATGCTGTGCCTCTCTTCTATTTTTACTGACTTCTGTTTTTATTGACTTCTCTTTTTACTAGCTGTTTTAACTTGTTTTGATGTTAGGTGTTTCTATTTTACGACAGTTTTAATCTGTGTTTAATGTGTATGCATGTGAATTTGAATGGCTTTTTAGGTTTAACTCTGTGCAGTGCTTTGGTCAGCTGACATGCTGTTTCTAAATGCGCTATATAAATAAAATTGGATTGGATTGGACTAAAGTATTGACAGTAAGCCAAAGCAGTTTTTCTAAAAGATTCTGGACCCAATTATAGGGTCAGGAGTCTTGAGATCATCTCCAGAGATTATATCATCCTGAAAACCTAACAGAATAGTTTCAGTGTAATAATAAAAAAGCTAAAAATAACAGATAAAAATGCAACAAAAGGCTAAAACAGGCAGCGACGGCTCACCTGAGCCCATCTCTCGCACATCTGTGAAGTCTGTCTTCAGGAGCCTGTTGGTCCAGGCCACCACATACAAACGACTGGACTTATCAAGGGAGGATCGTGGAGACACAACCTCTGAACCTGCCATCTTGCACCTGATGAAGGAATGAATCAACAGTCATGTGTATTAACTCATCATTAATTAACAAATGATTAGATCCTGTCATCTGCGATGGACTGGCTCTCTGTCCAGGGTGTACCCCGCCTGATTGCCCATTGACCGCTGGAGATAGGCACCAGCCCCCCGGCGACCCTACGTGGACAAAGCGGGTTCAGACAATGGATGGATGGATAGATCCTGTCATCATGCGTTACTAACCTCCTTTACAGTTTTCAGTCTCTTGTATCAAGAGAATAAACTCTGATTTGCACAAGATGTAACAAAGCCACTTCCTACCTTATTTTAGTGTTAAAAACAAGCTGCAGTCAGGTGTTTTATAACAAACTACCTTCAGTACACCTGCTCTTCCACATTACCATTATGCTAAAACTAATTTACATGTCAACAGGCTTGGTCTCGCCCTGATTTCCAGATTGGAAAAGGCACCAAAAATATGTGATTTCTTTCAGATATTACACTTTGGGAGAAGCTTCAGGTCCGTCATTTTGAACCAGCATAACAAACACACTAACGTATGTAACCATCTAATTCAACATTGTGTGTTTTTATCCATGTGCTTGTTTTCCTAGAGTAACTTAAGTTGCCAGATCTACCCCTGCACCATGAAATATTGCCGTGGGGGTGGGGGTGAAGTTAGGTCAGTGGGTGGGTTGCCTAATCCGCTCTTTGTTTGATTGCAGAAGATAAAAACTCTGATTTTCCTCTCAAATGAACACCTCACGTTTACTCCTTCTGTTCTACCTTCACCACGAACACATTAATGTTTAAACTTTAGAATTCGAGCAGCTGAATCCCTCTCAGCCACGCTGCCTTCGTCTCCTCCCCCTTTTCCCTTTAACACATAGGAAGCATGCAGGAAATCTCGCGTTAACCATCTTTTGCCGCGAACCCCTCTTGCAGCAAGTTTCACTTTCCCGTTTCTCAAAAAATACAACCTCACACACGCAAATCTAATGGAAATCCACACCAACCGAGGATTATTTACCATAAATGTACTTTACATTTGCCCATAACTCACTTGTTTTTTCTGCATTGTGTAGCAATAACATGCTTTCTAGTCAAAGACGGGCTTATAATCCTGATTTTATGTTGTTTAAACTAAAGTAAAACACTGTCTTGCAGACGTTTACACACACGCGCGCGCGCGCGCACACACACGCACACGACGCCTCCTTGTAATGGCTTGCTATTGTTGCCTAGCTGGCGTTAGACCATCAAGAGCCAAAAGCAGCAAGTAAGTCCCGAAATAAGTCAATAGCCCTTCCCGATATCAGTTGGTCTTTGTGTGTCTGCAGACGGCACAAATCTCAATAAGCCAAAACAATGAAACCTGCAGAAACACAACCCTGCGATCGTCAAACGTAAACAAAGGCAGAGTGTCATTTACTGAAACTGCCCGGTCAGCAATAAAGCTTGTTTTGTATTAATCTGTGGATATGCAATAGTACTTACCACGGCTGTTCCACCACAGGTACAGAGATCCTGCTCCTCTCAAATCCGTCCCACAGCACATCAGAACCACCCCGGCGACGTGCTTTCAACACGGGATTGGGCGATCGGAACGGGAGGCAGTCCCATCGAACGGCACTACCCCCAAAGGCTAACAATCCCTGCACCCACCCTAAGTGATGGGCCCCACGATGCCCGAGCAAAAATGCAAATGCTGTTCGCCGTGCTCGGTTCTAATTTATATTAACAAGTGACAACTGTGCGTTTTTTTCTATTTAGAAAACTGACAAGTACCAAGTAGCTCAAAAGGACATAACCTGGTTAGCCGGGCGTACACTGTGCGACTTTTTCACTTTTTTGAGCCGATTTTCCACTCTTGCAAGAATCCACAAGATCGGGGCGAATTTTGCGCCGAGCGTCGTGTAGTGTACAGGGGGTTACGAGAGGCGATTAACACCACGTGACCAGCTACAGATCAGCAATCGTGAGCTCGCACGGACTTCTGGCGTGTTTAATATTTTGCTCGTCCCTCGTGAGGGTATCGCACTGTTGAAGCAGCGCTGCAAGCAGCTGCGACCCAAAATGTATCATTCAGAACCGCTCAAGGCGCATGCGCAATCCTGCATCAACAACACCGATCCGCGCTATTTCCCTAATAACACACGTTGTTCGTTTCAAGTTCTACATGTTTTTTTTTACTCACAAAGATTGTCAAGAAAGCATGTTAGTTGTGTTCATGTCAAATTAAACTGATCACAAAACACAGATTTACTTTATTTCGTTTTCCTCATCCAACCCCCATAAATCCCTGTGTGTCCTCCTGCAGCACTCCAGAAGGACAACAGGCAAAACAAGCGTATTAGCATATTTTAGGCCCGACGTGTTGCTACCAGACGTACAGTGTGAGCAGTCAGATCGCATCCGAGAACTGGGTCGTGCAGTGTGAGCACATGACTCGTGAGATCTGCCCTGTGAGGAAGTCGCACGGTTTGAGCTGAAGCTGAGTGCTACAAGTGAAAAAGTCGCACAGTGTACGCCCGGCCAGGAAAAAGTTACTTAATGAGTACCAGGGATGGCTAGGTACATGGTACAGTGGGTGTAAAAAGGGCATGTATGGGTTATTAACCAGTACATTCAGGGTAGTTAGCCCTTTTCATAAGACACACCTTGCCGGCAAATCTGCATACTTTTATTCCAGTGGTGTGTCTTATGAATACATCATGCCGGCATGGCAATGTGCAAATTTTGCAACGTTTGTTCCACCTCCCTAGTAATTTTGCAGTAATTGTCACATAAACGATGATTGCGCCTTGGCGCAACAGATGGTTTCATGATCATGCGGGGAAATACTGCCGAGCTCCAGCCAGCGACTTTATAATGAAAGTAAAAACGGGTCGGAAATTTTGCTTTTGTAAACAGAATCAGCAGATTCTGGAGCAATGCGTTGCTTCTGCAAAATTTCTCTGTTAGAGCTGGAGGTCAGATCACCAAAGAGTGCACGGGGACTGTAGAGGACAGACACCTTTAGGAGCAGCTTGTTTAAAAACTTAATGAGCATGGCTTCGATCACAATAAAAAGCAAGTTATGTCAAAAATAAATGAAAGTCTGCAGCAGTGCAGAGATCACCCCATCCATTCATTTTCAACCACTTATCCTGAGTTGAGTCTCTGGGGCAGCAGCCTAAGCTGAGAGGCCCAGACTTCCCTCTCCCTACTCGGGCCAGCTACAAGGTGTTCCCTGGCCAGCCGAGAGACATAGCCCCTCCAGTGTGTCCTGGGTCTTTCCTTGGGTCTCCTCCCAGTTGGAAAACCTCATCAGGGAGGCATCCAGGAGGCATCCTGGCCAGATGTCCAAGCCATCTCAAGTGGCTCCTCTTGACGTGGAGGTGCAGCAGGTCTACTCTGAGCCTGGATGACTGAGCTTCTAACCCTATCTCTAAGAAAGAGCCCAGCCACCCTACGAAGAAAAATAATTTCAGCCAGTAGTATCCACGATCTTGTTCTTTCATTCACTACCCATAACTCATGAGAATAGGCGAAGGTAGGCTGACTGGTAAGTTGAGAGCTTTGCCTTCTGGCTCAGTTGTCTATTCACCATGACAGACCGGTACAACGCCTGCATCACTGCAGGTGCAGCACCAGTCCGCCTATTGGTCTCACGCTCCATCTCTCCCATACTCGGGAACAGGGCTCTGAGATACTTAAACTCTTAGAGCAAGACCTTTTTCCTGACCTGGAGAAGGCATTCTACCCGTTTCCAATTCAATACCATGATCTTGGATTTAGAGGAGCTGATTCTAATCCCATCCGCTTAACGCCGGGGACACACCGGCCGCGGAAGCGCCGCAAAAATGGGACCGCCTTCATTCGGCGCCCTTGTTAAGCTATTATAGACCAGGGATTCCCAAAGTGTGGTGCGTGCGCGAGCTGCCGCTAGGGGGTGCGCGAGGTGAAAAGTGTAATTGCTGCGGAGCTCAGAGAAGTCTGTCATATGTCTCCATTAGCGTAGAAACTCATTTGTGGATGGGCCAAAGAAAAAGTAAGTGGGCACAATAAATGTAATTGAAAACAAGTATATTTTTGCGCGCGCGCGTGTCCTCCACATGTGCCCTAACTTCATAATAACAATGCGCCGAGCTTCAGCGCTCTGGCCTGCGCACACTGATATGTTCCGTATTTGATCATTTTTAACGATGTTGGAGGAATCTGAAGGTGGCGAGTCATTCTGGCAAATTGTAATTAACACCCTGTCTCATGCAGGTGTTCTGACATTGTAAACCTCACACACAGAACATTGTGGATGTAACAAAATAACAATCAGGCTATTGACAGCGCGCTGAAGATCTGAAGTTCAGAGTGCGTCTGTCAGAGGTCAGATGCGTTCCGGCTGAACACGGCTCACGGGTGCACAAGTGCGCACATCTGGGCTGGGCAGAAGTCACTTTACAACATTGGTTTAAATAGCGCGAGACGCGGTGACTTGAGCGGCTGTGCCGCGTGCGCGCACACACACACACAGATTCAATAAGCGCACACGCTGCTTTAACTCCGGCGCGCCGTCAGACTGAAGGCAGAAATGAACGCTGCCTCCACCGTGATAAAAACTTTTAAGAGGTTATTTTTCATTCAAGGTCAAATTAAGATATTAGCTTCTGGGATGAGTCGGGTCCGCTCCAGCCAGTGACTCCTCATGAACCTGACCACATCTCATGTTACTGCAGCATTTGTTATTCCAGTCCACATGACAGCGGATCACAGATTCAGCCACACCTTAAAACAGCAATAAGTCGGTCTGAGGTAAAAGTGAACATCATGGCTATATCTTGTCCCCTATTGACATTTGATTACGCACACGTAGGTGATCAGCTCAGGTTTACGCAGAGCAGAAGGAAGGAGAGCGCTCTGGCCGCACAGGTTAAACGTTCCCACTTTAAGAAAACCGTTAAATTGCATTGTTTATGTGCTACCTGGGCACTCTAAATATTTGTTTAAAATGAAATCAAAGGAAATTGTAATGGTATCGAATGTTTATTAATTACTATTTAAAAAACGAAAGTGATGGTGAACTTTTTTAACCCTGTCTGTTTAGCTTGACATCTGATATATATATATATATATATATATGTGTGTATATAGAGCCATGCCCCGATGCGGTGGTCGGGGGGTGGGGGGCTTGGGCGTCGACATGGTCGGGACATAGAAGGGGGTGCGCGGGTTGGGAACCACTGCTATAGACCACATGGGCCGCCGAAGCGCCGCGAATCGCCTCGCGCCGGCGCGCACCGACTCTCCAGCCCTCGCCATGCAATGATCATTTCGGCGTCGGCTCTATTTTTTTCGCGAGCCGCGGGTGAATCGCGTCAATTCTGGCAGGAAGTCAAACCTAGACATAAGAGGCAGGCCGGTAAATTTAACAAAATAAAGCATTTCACATTAAAATTCCGCAATAGTCAAATGTGTTCGTAATCAGACACTGCAGAAAAAAACACATGAACACACACACACATACACACCCATCGAAATTGTGTTCGTGTGTGACCAAGTGAAGGGGGTGTGGTTTGGGGTGTCTTTTTTCCGAGCAAACAGAACAGACAGGCAGAAAGTCTGAGGCAAGCAGTTAAGATGGATGACTTTAAATTAATTATGGAAGTTGAGAAACACAAAGAGCTGTTATTTACGTACCCATTTCGGAAGAAACTGCTAGGATACAGCTGCAGAATTGGAGCGGGTTCCAAGAGATTCAACTGACAGAAACAACTGGTTCATACCATAGGTCCTCACACACACACACACACACACACGCACACACACACACACACACACACACACACACACACACACACACACACACACACACACACACACACACACACACACACACACATACACACACACACACACACACACACACACACACTCAAACGTAGAGGAAAAGAGCTGAGAAAAGGCAGAGAGGAAATAGAGGACACCAAGTGTTTAAAAGAAAAACTACAGCTGAGCTGAGGTGCGCCTCGACTGGGGCGCGTCTGATATGAACTGAGGAGCGGCGAGCAGTGGCCGAATTTCGTGAGCGATTCGCTTCTCTGCGCTTCGCTGCGCTTCCGCGGCTGGTGTGTCCACGGTGTAACACTCTGATGCGAACAGCTTCAGTGAATGATGGAGATCCAACAGCCGAGAGGACCACATTGTCTGCAAAAAGCAGATACCTGATCATCAGACAACCAAAATACATCCCCTCAACATCACGGCTGTGCCTAGAAATTCAATTCAATTCAAAAATACTTTATTAATCCCAAAGGGAAATTGATTGCTGAAGTAGCTCAGAATAATAATAATAATCCAGTCATCAAAGAGTAATTGTATATTACAATGGCTGTTGGCAGGAATGATCTCCAGTAGCGGTCATTGTTGCAGCGAAACTGAAGAAGCCTCTGACTGAAGACACTCTTCCATTGTCGGACAGTCTTGTGAAGAGAATGGTCAGGGTTGTCCATCATTTTCTTGATTCTCTGGAGAATCCTTCTTTGCATTATCTCCTCCAGTGGTTCCACAGTTGTCCCCAGAACAGAACCAGCCTTTTTATTAGGCTATTGAGCCTTTTCAGGTCCCTGCTTCTGATG